TCTCTCTCTCTCTCCTAGAAATAAATAAAAATCATTTAAAAAAAAAAAATCACACAATCATGGGGCGCCTGGGTGGCTTAGTCGGTTAAGTGGCTTAGTCGGTTAAGCGTCCGACTTTCGCTCAGGTCATGATCTCACGGTTCGTGGGTTCGAACCCCGCGTCGGGCTCTGTGCTGACTGCCAGCTCGGAGCCTGGAGCCTGTTTCAGTCGGTGACTCCCTCTCTCTCTGACCCTCCCCTGCTCACGCTGTCTCTCTCTCTCCTAGAAATAAATAAAAATACAAAACAAAAAAATTATTAAAAAAAAAAATCACACAATCACTTCTTTTTTTTTTTTTTATGCTTGTTTGTTTTGAGAGGGAGAAAAAAAACCACATGCAAGCAGGGGAGGGGCAGAGAGAGAGCGGTAGAGAGAATCCCAAGTAAGCTCCACCACAGCACAAAGCCCAACTTAGGTCTTGATCTCCTGAACAGTGAGGTCATGACCTGAACCAAAACCAAGACTCCAACACTGAGACATCCAGGCACCTACATTTCAATACACATGGCAAAGTACTAGACAAATTCTAATGACCTTTCATGATAAATGCACTAAAAAAAAAACCTGAGAAAATAAGGAAAGTTCCTCACTGGAAGAGGTGAGCTGTAAAAAACCTACAGTGATTATTAGTGAAAGACGAAATGCTTTTCCCGTAAAATTGGGAATGAGGCAAGGATATTTACTCTCACTAATACTATTAAATAAAGTACTGGAGGTTCTAGGTGGGTCAGTTAAACAAAGGAAGAATAAAAATCTCTCTATTTGCAAATGACATTATATCATACATATGGAAAATATCAAGGAGTCCACTAAAAAAACTATTAGAAGTAATAAATGAGTTTAGTAAGGCACAAGACACAAAATCAGTATACAAAAATCTATATTTCTATGTACTAGCGCTGCACAATCTAAATTGAAATTATGAAAACAAATCCACTTAAAATATCCTCAAAAAGAATAAAATGCCTAGGAATAACTTTAATCTTGTACGCTGAAAACTGCAAAACACTGTTGAAAAAAGTTAAAGACAACTAAATAAGTGGAAAGATATCTCATGTTCTGAATTGAAAGGTATTAAGTGGCAAAACTCCCCTAACTGATTAGGACCAGAGAGGACCCTATAAAATTTCTTTAGAAGGAAAAAGGCAAAACCCAGAGCACAGAGAGGCCATGACTTCAGCAGAGTCATAGAGACGGGAAGGGCTGAGTGGGATTTTTTGGGCAAACTGTAAACATCCGAACCGGAAGCCCTACTCCAGGAGGCCGTGCGGCAACAGCTATTGAGGCTGCTAAGAAGGCTGCTCAGAGAGGCAGGGGAAGAACACACAGCCCGTTGCCAGTCCTCACAGCACCAGCCACAGGGAGCCTGGGAAGGAACAGCCTCTGTGGTGGGGCTCTGGGATGAACACAACTTCCTATGGGTAAAAGGCAGAGGTGGAGTGAGAGACTTACCCAGCGAGCCAATAAGTGCAAAGTTCTGTAGCATCACATCACGGTACAGGCTTCTCTGGGTCAGATTAAGAAGCCCCCACTCCTCCCGGGAGAAATACACAGCCACATCCTCAAAGGTCACCAGCCCCTGTAATGATGGATTGAACTGAGCCTTAGGGGTCAACAGTGGGCAGACAAGCCAACCAAAACACGGACAGAGGAACACACCCAGGCCCTTGATCAATGTCGCAGGGTCCTGCCTCATCTCTCACTGACATCATCTTTCCCTTTGAGCCCCAAACCCCTACTCCCACTGGACACATACCCTCTACCTCCCCCTCCTAAGACACTTACCTCAGAGGACTGCCAGTCCCCCCAGTTCCACTGGCGCCTCTCCCCTCATGTTACCCTTGGACTCTGCATCCTGCCCACAGCAACGACAGGCTGTCGTCGGTATATGGTATATACCATCTATGTACCCAGCCAGACACACAGGACTCGCCCTCCCTGCCAGCCAATTCCCTCTACGTCCCAGAGATCACCTTCCAGGGACAGCCAACCCTGTGCTCACCCTTCCGTCTAGGTCTCAGATCTTCCAGTTTGCCCTCCAGTCTGACATGCACAGAACTCTTGGTACCACAGCTTGTTACAGCTCCACACCAACAGCACAATCTCACCGGTTCAGCCCATTGGCAACTCGCTGAACTTGCCTACATGCCCATCTGCACACAATGTCTCCAGTGACACCACTGAGAGCAACCACAGCACCATCCAGCCCCACTCCTCCGCGGCTCACTGCTAAGTTAAAGTTAGAGACTTTAACTCCCCCATACCCCACCCCCGGCCCCGCCGACTCTGCGCTGAAGACCTCCCCACCCAGACCTGTCCCTCGCTTCAACTCTCAGCCTGCCAGGCCACACATGGATCTCCAAGCCCCCTCTTCCACCTCTGCCTTTGACCAAGCTGCCCCTTCACCTGCACAAGACTTCCCCGCTTCTCCTGAGCTCCTTCAGAACCCGACCCACTGGGTGGGGATCAGGGCCGTCAAAGCCTCGGGAACCTTCCACTTACCAGCGCCTCTTCGGCCATCGGAAACTGTTGGCGGAGCTTCGCCGCGAAAGGCGCCGAATTTCGGCCTACTCAGCTCAAATCCGTACCTGCCACCCCTTCTTGGGCGCAGGAACCTCCGGTCGACTGTGGAAACTGTGAAGCCAGGTCTCCCCCTGTTTACAACGTGCGCAAAGACCAAGGAGCCGCCTGCGGGAGGCCCTGACCCTCCGGCGCCCGTTCCGCAGTGGGCGACACCAAGTCTCAGGAAGACGGAGTCATTCCCGAGGGTCACGACGTGCACAGGCGCGACGAGGGTCCCTGGCCCCCTCCGCCGCGATGCGGCTCTCCAGGTGTTGGCGCCGACCCACGGCTGCAAGAGGAGCACCACTGAGGCAACGCCGGAAGTCCCGCCGCCTCCAGACGCCCTCGTTAACTTAGATCCCGCGTCGCTGGAGGGCCTTATTTCCCACCTCCCCTCGCGGTGCCGCTTGCTCGTTGCCAAGGCGACAGGGGCGGTCTCTACTGTGCGCTCGTACCGACGTAGCCAATGACGGTCCCAGAGAGGAGCGTTTCCGCGTTCTGTGGAGGGGGGACTTCCGGCATCGTCCCCCTGCTTTGGAACCACGTAGAGCCGGAGGTCGGTGTAGCTACGCGGAGACTCCTTAGAGCCTTGGAAACTGGAAGAGGGAAGCAGAGAGGTGGCACTGCACTGTGCACGCGGCGTGAGCGCGCAAGGCTCCTTGCCCGTAGAGAGGCGTTACCGTCGGGCGCCACTTCCGTCAAAGCCGGTCCGTACCCGCCGCCGCCGCCCCGGAGTTGTCGCCCTGGACGCGATGTCTGCTTCACGGAGCAGGAGACAGAGCTCAGAAAAGCCTCTCCGGGGGCGCCTGGGTCGTTCAGTCGGTTAAGCGTACGACTTCGGCTCAGGTCATGATCTCGCGGTTCTTGGGTTCGGGCCCCGCCTCGGGCTCTGTGTTGACAGCTGGCTCAGAGCCTGGCGCCTGCTTCTGATTCTGTGTCCTCCTCTCTCTGACCCTCCCCTGCTCACGCTGTCTGTCATTCTCTCTCTCAAAAAAATAAACATTAAAAAAATATTTTAAAGAAAAGGCTCTCCAGCCTGAGTTGAGTGAGCTGAGGACCAGCGGTCAGGGGGCCTTGGAAGGTATCAAGTGTGTAAATTCATATTACCACCACCACCACTGTCCAGTACAGAGCTGCTCCATTTCACAAGGAAGTTCTTTTTTTTTTTTAAGATTAAATTTTAATATTTATTTTTTTTTACAAGTAGTTTATTGTCAAGTTGGTTTCCATATAACACCCAGTGCTCATCCCAACAAGTGCCCTCCTCCATGCCCATCCCCCCCTTACCCCATCCCCCACCCTTATCAGCTCTGCCCTACTTACACTTTCTTATACTTACATAATTACTGGTGCTTTTTGTTTTTTTCACATGGATTCAGATCATTATCTGGAGTCACATACTTTCAGCTTTAGTACCTACCGGGCTGGCTGACAGGGACAGGAAGACAACCCCAAGCCCCTGCTCATCAGGAGCAGGGAAGGGAGAATGAAAACATCCAAGTCACCAGCTGAGACTGTCTACTCTTTTTTTTTTTTTTAATTTTTATTTATTTCTAGGAGAGAGAGAGACAGCGTGAGCAGGGGAGGGTCAGAGAGAGAGGGAGACACAGACTCTGAAACAGGCTCCAGGCTCTGAGCTGGCAGTCAGCACAGAGCCCGACGCGGGGCTCGAACCCACGAACCACGAGATCATGACCTAAGCGAAAGTCGGAGGCTTAACCGACTAAGCCACCCAGGCGCCCCTGAGACTGTCTACTCTTTAACAAGCACATGATGTGTTCTGATTATCCAAGACTGTTCAGAAGTATATTTGCTGATTATAAATATAATGATGTTTGGTGCCAACATTTTTTAATGGAGAGACCCTAATTATTTCCAGTAGTGCCTATTGTTAGGCAGTTTCCTTTCCAAACAGTACAGCACTTAAGTTCATCGTATAAGTCTCCTTGGGCCTGTCACCATCAAGATGCCTGGCTGGCTTAGTCAGTTGAGTGTCCGACTTTGGCTCAGGACATAATCTCATGGTTCGTGAGTTCAACCTCCACATTGGGCTCGCTGCTGTCATCATTAAGCCCACTTCAGATCCTCTATCCCTCTCTCTCTGCCCCTCCCCTGCTTGCACTCTCTCGAAAAATAAATAAAATGTTAAAAAAAAAGAATGTGACAATGAAACTTTGAGTGTATTTGTGCTGCGTTAAGCTGTGAAATTGGTTGGGTTTTTTTTTTTTAGGTTCTGTATACACTTTTTTTAATTTTATTTTTTTAATAGTTTATTGTCAAGTTAGTTTCCACATAACACCCAGTTAAGCTGTGAGATTTGTAATAATTTGTTATAGCAGCAGGAAAAATTACACCACCATCTCCCACCTATGTTCCACAAAAAGACCCAGAAGACATTCCTTTCACTAAGATAACTGAGAAATATATTAGAGGATTGAAATCTCTGTGATTGCTCTCTTGTAAGCCAGCTATGGCTGTAGAAGATGGTGCCATTGAAATGGGATGTTTTCCATGGTATGAACCCATGAGTAACAGAGGCCAAGTGGCAGCACTTAATTACCAGATACAAGGTGGACACATTGACCATAACAGGCAACAGTGGTGTACAGGCAACCAGAAAGCCTTGGCTTACAGAGGGCTTGGACAGTGGGTAACTGAATACAGCATTCCTCAGAAAGAAATATCTGGGGTATAGGTCATTATGCTAAGAAGGGCTAAATGCAAGCCCCTGAAGCTTCCACTCCTTGCCAAGACAGTAAACCGAAAATAATACTGTATCTCTGGAGGAAATGCAGAGATTAATGCCACTGCCAAACTTAGGAAAGAAGCAGAGGTGGTGGTACCCGTTACATCCCATTTAACTCACTCGTTTGGCCTGAGCAGAAGTCAAGTGGGTCTTGGAGAATGACTGTGGACCATCCATCCTAAATTTAATCTGGTGGTGGCTATGATTGTAGCTGCTCTTCCAGAGGTAAAATCATTACTACAACAAATTAACAGAACCCCTGGCACTGGGCATGCAGCCAGTGACTTAGCTGATGCCTTCCATATAATTTACAAGAAACACCAGAAACTGCTCTTCACTTAGCCTGGGATGGAGTCCAGAACGGGTGGAAGCAATGAGCTCTGAGCTGGCATCTTGGCAAGGGAGGGGCCACCTGTGATGATGAACCAAGCCTGCAACCCATGGAGTAGGGACCAGCCAGAGCCACCTGGCTCAGAAAAACCATACTCGGTCCTGGTTTAGAGAGAAAGAATGCTCCTCAGAGCACGTACACATGGCCACTCAAGGAACGGCACTCGCTTCTGTGGTTTACGGAGTATCAAAATCAAGAGTCATGAGTAATTTAAGACAGGTGAGAGCAGACTATAGTTTGTGGTCCAAATGCAGCTCATTGCCTGTTTTTGTACAACCCTCAAGATAAGAAAGACACATTTTTTTGTAGTTGGAAAAAATCAAAAGAACACCATTTTGTAACACGTGAAAATTATATGAAATTCAGATTTTAGCATCCATAAATAGTTTTTATTGAGTATAGTTGACGCATAATGTTACATTAGTTTCAGATGTACAACAGAGCCATTCAGCACATCTATATATTACTCTATGCTCACCACAAGTGTAGCCACCATCTGTCACCATACAAAGCTATTAAAATACTCTTGACTATATTTCCTATGTTGTACCTTTTATTCCTATGACTTATTAATTCCATACTGGAAGCCTGTACCTCCCATTTCCCCTTTACCCATTTTGCCCATCCTCTGTCCCCTCTCCTCATGGCAACCACTAGTTTGTTCTCTGTATTTATGGGTTTATTTCTGCTTTGTTTGTTCAATTGTTTTGTTTTTAGATTCTACACACAAGTGAAATCACCTGGTATTTGTCTTTCTCTGACTTATTTCACTTAGCATAATATCCTCTAGGTCCATCCATGTTTTTGCAAATGGCAAGATCTCATTCTTTTTTATGGTTGAGTAATATTCCATCATATTTACACCACATCTTTTTTATCCATGCATGTATTGGTGGACATTTGGGTTATTTTCATATCTTGGCTATTGTAAATAATGGTGCAATAAACATAGGGGTGCATATATTTTCAAACTGTTTTCATTTTCCTCAGTAAATTACTGAATTGTGTGGTATTTCTATTTTTAATTGTTTTAAGATTTTAAAAATTTATTTATTTATTTATTTATTTATTTATTTATTTATTTATAAGTAGGCTCCAGGCCCAGTCCAGAACCCAACATGGGGCTTGAACTCATCACCTTGAGATCAAGACCTGAGCTGAGATCGAGTCGGAGGCTTAAGTGACTGAGCCATCCAGGCACCCCAAAGATTTTTATTTTTTAAGTAATCTCTACACCCAACACAGGACTTGAACTCACAACCCTGAAATCAAGAGTCGCATGCTCCACCAACTGAGCCAGCCAGGTGTCCCTTCTATTTTTAATTTTTTGAGGCACCTCCACACTGTTTTCCACAGTGGCTGCACCAGTTTACATTCCTATCAACAGTGCATGAGGGTTCCTTTTTCTTGACATCCTTGCCAATACTTGTTATTTCTTGTCTTTTTGATACTAGTCATTCTGGATGGTAGAAGGTGATAATAAAATTTTATTAGAACACAGTCACAGTCATGCATTTACATATTGTCTATGGCTCCTTTCACACTACAATGACAGAGTTGAGTAGTGACTGGAAACTGCACAGCCCACAAAGGAGAAAATATTTATGATCTGGCCCTTTACACAAAAAGTTTGCTGGATCCTGATTAAGAAGTTACAGAACTGAGGCGCCTGAGTGGTTCAGTTTGTTGAGCAGCGGAGCCTTGATTTCGGCCCATGTCATGATCCCAGGGTTGTGGGATCAAGCCCTGCATCAGGCTCTACACTGAGCATGAAGCCTGCTTAAGATCCTCATTCTCTGTCTCTGACTCTCTCCCCTGCTCACACATACGCTCTCTCCTTCTCTCTAAAAAATAAAAATTAAAAAAGAAAGAGTAGATTTCTAGAAGATTCTTTGAAAAAGTCCCATACCCAATGTGGAGTTTTCCGAAGGCCATTTAAAGGTGAAGCATCCATGCCCCAGGGAGGGGGAAATCAGGCTGCAGCTCGCTCCAGGCCACTGTGACCCCAAGGAGGAGGCGGCAGCCAGCTTGGAGGAGATGCCCAGTATCGTCCCCATCCCAGCCTCACTCAGTCTCCCTTCTGGGATGGGAGGATCTTTTTTTTTAATTATTTATTTATTTTTTAATTTTTTGTATTTATTTCTAGGAGAGAGAGAGAGAGAGACAGTGTGAGCAGGGGAGGGTCAGAGCGAGAGGGAGTCACAGACTGCAACAGGCTCCAGGCTCTGAGCTGGCAGTCAGCACAGAGCCCGACGCGGGGCTCGAAGCCACGAACCGCGAGATCATGACCTAAGCGAAAGTCGGACGCTCAACCGACTAAGCCACCCAGGTGCCCCTGGGATGGGAGGATCTTAGCACTTGCAGGGTCTGATCTGAATGTGCCCTTAGTTTTAGGGAGAGCACCTCAGAGGCAGGCAGGCCACCTGCTACACATGCATGTGGGCTCTTCCTCTAGCACTTACCTCCGTGGAAACCACATGATCTAATCTGCCTGCGTTCACATTTGTCTGCATTAAAATTGATCCATAACTGTATGAACTCTGTTCAAATCTAGTTTAGTCCCGTCCATCGTCTTGTGTCCAGCGTGTGCCCTGAGAGGGCAGAGGCCCGTGCGTCCAGAGTGCTAGGCCTGGCACACAGCAGAAGCGCCATAAAGGCAATTGCAGTAACTGCCCCTGTTCACGTTAAGGGGTTTGAGGTGTCTGGATCTTTTGTTTGTTGTTCACTTCTCCCTTGTCCTGTGGCCCCCAGCCAGGAATGCTAGAAGCTCCCCCAAGCTCCGCTTGTCTGCTGCAGGTCTTAGTGAGGAGGGAAGACTCCAAGCACAGAGAGAGAACTTCCGCTGCACTTCCGGGGAAGGGGAAAAACCAAGGCTACCCTGCCAGGGCATGGAGTTGAGGGGAGAAAGTGTTTTTGCAAAAGCTCTGTGGTTCCTGTTCAAATCCACACCCTGCCCAGCCCATCAGCCTCAGTTTTCCCATATGTCATCTGGATACTGCTGCTCTCAGGGTCCAGTGAGGGCCCTCTGCGGCCTTCATTCCCTTGGCCTCAACACAGGAGGATGCCTGATGGCCAGGGTCGGGTTTGGAGTAAGCAGGAGCCTCCTTGACTCCCATGAGAAGAGACTGGCGGGATTCCTGTAGCATGGAGACCCGGGGGCCCTCCAGGGAGCATGGGAGGGAGAGCTGGGGAATGACCTGGGAAAGGTTTGGGGAGTTGGGGGTCCACAGGATTGACATCGAAGGCAGTGGCCAAGATGACAGCCTCTCTGCTCAACTTTCTGGATGTCATCTGCCTTGTGAGAATCCTTCAGTGTCCCCAGGGTGACCTTGGTACCCAGCAGGTGCCAAATAAATACTTGTTGATTAACAAATTTTTCCTGCAAGTAAAATGTTTATTGTCCATTTTACACAGGTGAGAACCAAAGTCTGGCATCTCGGGCACCATGCAAAGCATTGAGGTTGGCACACACACACATACACACCCCGTCCCGGGTACTCACAGGCACCAGGACCTAGAAGGAGCAGCAAGCCGGGGCTGGTGAGGGGTGGCTATGCAGCAGTGACGAAGTGGGCAGAGAGAGGGCCGAGAGGGCACAGCTCTGGGTGGCCACAGAGGCTGATAGACAAGGATGGGAGTCACCCAGGGTGGTTTGGAGCAGCTGCTTTTGTTTGTGGGCAGTGGGTGGGCAGGCATCAAGGTAATAAATAATTAGCAGGCAGGAACCCTCAGGTCCCCTGGGATGTGTCATCAGCCTCATTTAAAGGGAGGAGAGACTGAGGCCTCTGGCTTCCTTTTGGGAAAGTGGAGAAGCCATACTCTCCCTCGCCCCTAAGAGGAAGCTGGTTAGGGCAGGGGGGAGGGGCCAGCCCTGCCCACGGCCCTCAGTCACCACCTTCCTGCTCCAGATCTCTCTACCTTGATGCCAGCTGTTTTGAAGATACAGCTCTAAGGTCTCCTTCCAGGCAGAGGGTATTGTCTCTCCCTCTTCTGTGCACCACCAGCTAAGGGCCCCGTTCTGATACCGCAGCTGGGCCCAATTCCTGCCTACTCTCCCAGCCTGGAGTGAAGGAGGGAAGGAATGGGAAAAGGGAGATCTGAGACTCTATGGTAAGCTGAATAATGTACCCCAAAGATAGCCACATTCTAATCCCCAGAATCTGTGAATCTGTTACCTTACATGGCGAAATGGACTTTGCAGATGCGGATGCTGAGCTGAGGAAATTGGGATTATCCAGGCGGGCTCAATACAACCACAGTGTCCTTATAAGTGGAAGAGGGAGGCAGGTAGGTCAGCGAGAGATCTGAAGGCCACCGCCTTTGAAGATAGAGGAAGATGAGGCGCTTGACTGGTTCAGTTAGTAAACCACAGGACTCTTGATTTTGGGTTTGTGATTTTAAGCCCCACGTGGGATGTAATTACTTAAAAACCAAAATAAAATAAAATATGAAGATAGAGTTAGAAGCCAAGGAATGCAGCTCTAGAAGATGGAAAAGCTAAGGGCATTCTCTCCTGGAGCCCTGAGGACACTTGATTTTATCTAGGCAACAATGATTTCAAGACTCCTGGCCTGCAGAACTATAAAATGCTTAATGTGTGTTGTTCTAGGGAACTCAGTTGGTGGTAATTTGTTGCAGCAACCAGAGAAAACTAATACAGACCACCAACCTGTGCCTGCTTGACCAAGTCCCCCCTGCCCCCCCCCCCGAGTGGGCTAGGCTATGGCTGCCCAGTGACCCAGCACACTGGGTCCAGCCCCTGTGGGTGACATTGACACCTGGGTGTGCGACAAGAACTGGTCTGGGAAAACACTCCCTTGGAGGTCCTGATGTTGCCCCTCTGGCTTCCCACCTGGAAGGAGCAGCTCGTATCAAAAGGAGCCCTGCCAACATGCCTAGATCAGAGTGGCTGGGAGACAGTTGAGCCTAGAGTGCCCACAGCCATTCCCAGGCTGCCTCTTTGTCACCTGCGATGCTGTTAATCCCCAGAATACTATTTGGCCCCCCTCTGTATGCTGGGCACTCCAGACACACGTGTAAAAAAGTCAAACGGGAGCCTCCATCCCCATAGCAGTCATATTGCTCTCTGGAGAATGTTGGATTCCCACCCACAAAACACAGAACCCCAACTCTGGACGAAGTGAGACAGGATGCGGGCTCTAGGGCCTGGGGGGAAACAGAAGGCCTATGTTCAGTTTGTGTAGAGGGTGGCTGCCATCTGCCCTGTGGTGACTAACCCAGGAAGGCTTCTGAGAGGAGGAAAACAGGAACCCTGCAGGCTGCCGTCCACAGGGAGCTTCACCTAGGGGAACAGCAGGGATGTCAAAAAGGTTGATAAAGCCCTGGAGGAAGAGGTGCAATAACCGAGTGCAGGTGGGGGTGATGGAGGTTCTATGCCTAGGGTGCGAGGCCTGCCATCAGGCCACGGAGATCCAGGAACACCCGCTCTTAGCCTCTTTACGCCTTGGTGACCACAGCTGCCCTCACAGCATTTCAGGAGGATCCCAGAAGCCACGACCCATTGGAGTAGTGGAGGCTCCCATTGTAAATTTGTACTCAGGACCAAGTGGGAGCTAGTCTTTGAGGCTCAGGGTCTATCTGTCCCTCCTAAACCCTGACCAGGACATCTGCTCCTCCAAGCTCAAGTCCCAGCTATGTGTGCAGAGAGGCAACTCAGGACCAGCATGGAAACAGCTGGATCCCACCCAGACCCAGCCTGGGTCTGCAGCAGAGTGGAAAACTCCACAGCCTGGGTAGGAGTTGCCGGGGGAACGTGGGGGATGGGGAGGAATGCAATGGGCTGGGCAGGAGGCCATGGCCAGAGAGTAACGCAGCAGCAACTTTGCCCCTGGAAGATGGGGACTCCCACAGCCTGCAGTGAATCCAAAGGATGGGTAGCGCCAGCTGCTTGCTGAGGATGCTCCCCCAGGGGTCTGCTGACTGGGGGTACACTTAATCCAACCCTGTGATCAGGGCTGATGGTGCCCCTAACAGGGTGCCTGCACGATATCGGTCAGAGGGGCTCCGGACTCCCATGAGGGATGAGGATCGAGAGTACTTCCTGCTGGACCCTAATGGAGACCAGGCTTAGGAGTGCCTCTCAGCAGGACCTTTATAAAGACGGGGATCAGGGTGGCATTGGCTGCTGGATGTCCACAGGGATAGGGGTCATGGGTGCTCTCAGAGGGCTCTTGCAGGAGTGAAGGCAAGGGGTAAGTATTCCTTGAGAGGGTCCCTGCTTCCTGGTGATGATGCCTTGAATGATCCCACCAGGCCTCCCTCTGGAGAAGTGGGCGCTTGGGATGCACCTTACTAAGGCCTCCACAGGGATCATGGCAAGGAGTCCTGGCAAGATCCCACCAGAGTGACACGGCAGTCCCCAGGCCTGAAGATATGACCTGCAGCACAGTTGCGTTTACTGAGGCCCCCACACCCTCCTGACGCCCCGTCCCCGTGGGGCCCAAGCGGGACCAGCCCCTGCCCCCCACATGCGGTTCGGGGGCCTGTCCAGCGTCCCCTCGGCCTCCACTGTGTCCTCGGAGTCCCCTTCGGGCTCCAGCGCATCCTCCGCGGCCCCCGGCAGGGCAGTGTCCAGGTCACGGCCCGTGGGGCGCGGCGTCCAGGCAGGGCTCCAGGGCGCCCCCGGCGTGGGCCGCGGCGGGAACCAGGAGAACCCGGGCGGCGGGGCGAGCGCCACGAGCTGCGGCCGCGCGGGGCCGGAAGAAGCGGCGTGCGGGATGAGGAAGAAGATGTAGACGCCTGAGACCACCAGGCCCGCGGCCACCAGCACGGCCAGCGCCACGGCCGCGTTGAAGGCCCAGGCCGGGCTGCTCAGCGAGAGGCGGCGCGACAGCGGGCGGCCCAGGCGCAGCGGCGGCGGCGGCGGCGGCGGCCGCGGGGCGCGGGACTTGCGCGGCCCGGGCGGCGGCGGCGGCGGCGGCCGCAGGTAGAGCAGGCCGCGGCGGCGGTCGAAGCGCACGGAGCCCTGGCGCGGCGCGGGTGCGCGCGCCTCGCGGGGCAGCAGGCCGGGCTGCGTGGGCAGCGCGGGCAGCCCGCGGCGCGGGGCCAGGCGCGTGGGCGCACGGCACACGGGGCAGGCCACCGCGTCGCCGCCGCCCGCCGTGGCTAGGGACAGGCGAGCCAGGCACTCGAGGCAGAAGACGTGGCCGCAGTCCAGTCGCTTGGGCAGCTTGAACACGCCGTTGAAGGGGGAGACACAAATGAGGCACTCCACGGGAGACGCGGGGGACAGGATGGGGCTCGAGCCCGGGCTGCCATCCCCTTCCTCCTCCTCGCCGCCGTCGTCGTCCTCACCCTCCCCCCTGCCCGGGGAGCCGGGAGCAGAGAGTGAGCCCAGGGAGCAAGAGCCTGAGCCTTGAGGGGCTCGGGAGCTGCGGAGCCAGGGTGGCCGAGGGCAGGGCATCCAGACAGGACCTGAGGGGAGAGGCGGTCAGCCGGGGGAGGAGGCAGTGGAAGGACCTAGGATCCGGGGCTGGACCCTGCAAGGGATCGCCCAGCTTAGAGCAGGGGCATTCAAAGGGGTAGCGAGAGGCGAGGAGCAGAGGATGGGCAAAGCAAGCAACTCCCAGGGTAGGAGCGGAGGAAATGGGCGTCCGAGGTAGGAAACAGGAGGACCAGGGAAGAAGACGGCAGGCAAAAGGAGGGCAGAGACAGACCCAGGGGCCCCGCAGGTCCTAAGCTACAGACTCCAGAGAGGATAGCGAAGAGCACCCGAGTCACTGGTCAGGACCCCAGGCAAACACTGGGGAGGACCCAACACCAAGAGAAGCAAAGACCGCAACCCCCCCTCCACCGTCAACTCAAGAAATCTAGACAGATGGACGGAGGAGTCCCCGTGACTCCAGGAGAAGCAGAGGGAAGAGGAGCCCAGCAGCACAGAGCAATGTGGGAAGCCCACAACAGGTGCCAAAGGATCCCAACCAGACAATGACAGACCCCAGGTGGCCTTTGGGTTCTTCTTACCTGTTGATGCCTCCTCCCTCTGGCTGGCACGTCCCTTCCAGTTCTGACCCGTCCTCTGCCTACCAGCAACTGCATACTAGGTGCCCCTCCCCGCAGGAGGGTGCTGTCTTAGTACCACTCCCTCTAGATCCCAGGTTCCCAAGGTACCAACCAGACCTGTCTGACTGCTCGCCCCGCCTCCCAGACAGGTCCCTCCAGGATGAACACCAAGCTGACTCTGGCCGGATGTTGGGGGCGGCAGTTGATGGAGGGCACAGACTGACTGGGTGGGCAATAAATCCCCCCTAACACCCCTGGCAACCAAGCCTTCAACACCTTCCCAGCCACCTAGTACAATCAGAGGAATCTGGCGTGGCAGCGGTGCCTAGGGTCAGGCTGCAGTCCTGACCGCCCAGCATGACTGGGGACGCAGCGGGGAACCCTGGAGTCCTGGGGTGGAAGGTGGGCACACACCACAGTGGACTGGACAGGGCAGGCACCTTCCAGACAAGCAGGCTGGCAATGGTGGTGGCTTTAGATTCCTCTCCCCGGAGCTCCTTCAAGGGAACAGGCCTAAGGATGATGGGCTGCCACCCTCACCTCATGGGCAACCACGAAACCCCTCCCCAGACTAGAGTGGTATCTCTGCCAGGACAACCCCACCCATCTCATTCCTACATCCGCTGAACACCCCAAGTGGCCAGGCCTGCACCCCGGGGTGCCATGGTTCTGAGTCAGTGATGCTTCATGAACAGAATATTTCCCTGGTGATCCCAGGTCCCCACAGACCAAAAAACATGCCAGAAATGTGGGCAGCTCCTCAGGACACTGCCATCCCCACTCCAGTTCCCAGAACCCCACAAGGACAGACACTGGCACAGGTGGGTGAGGCTGCCCCAAGGGCAGGCAGGTTTATTGGAGCCACAGTCAGGAGCTCAACGGTTGGACTTGGCCACACGTTCCAGCTCGTCCTTCTTCTTGATGGCATAGGAATTGGAAGAGCCCTGCAAAGAGGTAGATGGTTAGTCTGGAACGTCGGAGGAGCCTTCCCTTGAACCGGCCCCCACCCCAGTGTCCTCACTCACCTTGGCTGCATTGATGAGCTCATCTGCTAGGCACTCGGCAATGGTCTTGATGTTCCGGAAGGCAGCCTCACGGGCACCTGTGCACAGCAGCCAGATGGCCTAGGAAGCACAGAGGTCAGTTAAGCCTGGGGGGCAGGGGTGCCCTCAAAGTAGATAGGACCACTGTCCTCCAATACTCTGTGCTTCTAACAAATGTCAATTACCACGCTGCCATCCATTGGCCCACCGAGTCAAGACACAGAAGGAGCCCATAGGCTGCCCAGGTGGCATGCTGCCTATCTGGGATGAGACCAAGGGCCACAAAAAGAAGTATAGGCACAAAGGCTGAATGAAGTAGGGTCCCTGATTACAGGAGATGTGAGACCCACCACCACAGGGAAATGCAATGCAGTATGTACTCTTGACTTGGACCTCGGAGTGAAAACGGATAGCTTGGGGCGCCTGGGTGGCTTAGTCGGTTAAGCGTCCGACTTTCGCTTAGGTCATGATCTCACGGTTCGTGGGTTCGAGCCCTACATTGGGCTCTGTGCTAACTGCCAGCTCAGAGCCTGGGGCCTGTTTCAGTCTGTGACTCCCTCTCTCTCTGACCCTCCCCTGTTCACGCTGTCTCTCTCTCTCTCTCCTAGAAATAAATAATACATTAAAAAAAAAAAAAAAAAAAAAAAAAAAAAAAAAAAAAAAAAAATAAAAAAAAAAAAAAAAAAAAGAAAACGGATAGCTATAGGGGCACCTGGGTGGCTCAGTTGGATAAACATCTGACTGGGGTTCACAGTTCACAAGTACATGCCCCACTTTGGGCTCTCTGCTATCAGTGCAGAGCCCAGCTTCCGATCCTCTTCCCCGCCTCATGCATGCACTCTCTCAAAAACAAACATTAAGGCAAGTGCCTAGGTGGCTCAGCTTGATAAGTATCTTACTTCAGCTCAAGTCATGATGCTGTGGTTTGTGAGTTAGAACCTCGCATCAGGCTCTCTGCTGTAAGGACAGAGCCCATTTCTAATCCTCTGTATCCCTCTCTCTGCCTCTCCCCTGCTAGAATTCTCTCTAAAATAAGCAAACATTGGGGCACTTGGTGCTCACAGCTTAGAGCCTGGAACCTGCTTCAGATTCTGTGTCTCCATCTCTGTGCTCTCCCACCCCAACTCATGCACGCTTTCGCTCCAAAATAAACGTTAAAGAGATTAAAATACATAAACATTTAAAAAGAGAAGAAAATAAATGGACAACTATTGTTGAGGACAGCTGCAGTGACGGGTGATAATTCTACTGCCATTAAACTCCTTGAGGATGATGGTAGGGACAAAATATCCTTGTTCCTAGGAGACACTCACTGAAGTGTTAAGAATGCCCACCTGATTCACACGGCGCAGGGGAGACACGTCGACAGCTTGACGCCTCACTGTTCCAGCTCGTCCAATGCGGGTTGAATCCTCCCGGGGACCGCTGTTAATAATTGCATTCACCAGGACCTGCAGGGGGTTCTAAGAGAAAGCAGCCATGAACCTGTCATCCAACCTACATCCCACGCCGGTGTCCTCACCTCTAAAACCTGGCAGACCCTGGCATGCATGCCATGGGGCAGCTGTTGGCTTCATGGTCTACTAAGGGTACTCTCTGCCTCATCAGGCCTCAGAGCCCTACCTCACCAGTGAGCAGATGGATGATCTCAAAGGCATGCTTGACGATGCGCACAGTCATGAGCTTCTTGCCATTGTTACGGCCATGCATCATCATCGAGTTGGTGAGGCGCTCCACAATGGGGCACTGTGCCTTGCGGAAGCGCTTGGCTGCGTAGCGTCCTGCACTGTGGGGCAGGTACTTGGCATACTTCTCCTTCACCGCAATGTAATCCTGGGGCAGCAGAGAGAGAGGATGGAGGGACCATGGTCAGGAGCAGGATGGCCAGAAACCAGAGAGACTGAGCACCCACTCTGGTAAGCCCCCAACCACTTATGGGGTCTTGACTGTGAGGCCCCTCTCTGCCACAAAAAAAGTAAAACCCCAAGTGACTTTACCAGGTCACTAAAAAGAGCACTTCCTTTACAATAGAAGGGAGGAAGATGGAAAACCAAGATTACAGCTCATGATCTCACTTTAAAGTGTTCCTTCGGATACCTGGGTGACTCTGTCAATTGAGCGTCTGACTTCGGCTCATGTCATGATCTGGTGGTTGAGTCTGAGCCCCATGTTTGGCTCTGTGTTAACAGTTCAGAGCCTGGAGCTGCTTCGAATTCTGTCCCCTCTCTCAAAACAAAAAGTGTTTCTCACACTCTGCAGCATGGACTTGTTAAATCAGAATACTCTGTGTAGGGGCTGCCCTGCGCACTGCAAGGTGTGTAGCAGCATCCAGGATGCTAGTAACACTCTTCTCAGTTTTGACACCCAAAAATATATGCAGATGTTGCCAAGTGTCCCCTAAAAGAGGTGGTGGGAAATCACTCCAGAGAACCACTGTTTTAAAACAATTATTGGGGCGCCTGGGGGGCTCAGTTGGTTAAGCGTCTGACTTCAGCTCAGGTCATGAACTCGTGGCTCACCAGTTCAAGCCCCACGCTGGGCTCTGTGCTGACAGCTCAGAGTCTGTGGAGCCTGCTTTGGATTCTGTGTGTCTCTCTTTCTCTGCCACTTGCCCTGCTCTAAAAAATGAATTAAAAAAAAACAAAAACAAAACCTCCACAAATTATTCATCAGTGTCTCATATATCATTTCCCAAAAAAATGTCTAGAAAACACCACAAAATGTTCAGGGGCATTGGAATCAGAAGAACTATGTGCACGTGAAGATGACTACTATCAACTGTTCCACTATGAAATCCACCCCCAAATCATTCTATCAGTTACACTTGCAACACATATCTACCACATGACCCACAAGCATGAAAATATTCACTATCTGGCCCTCGCAGAACAAAGCAATGAAGGAAAACAGAAATATAAAACATCCAGACTGAAAAATAGGACTGAATCCTCCACTAGGCACAGTGCCTAGGTCCCATGATATATTCAGAAATGACAAAAAATGTTTCAGTTTCTTTTAAAAAGAAAAGGGAAGGGGCCCTTGGGTGGCTCAGTTGGTTAAGCTTCTGACTTTAGCTCAGGTCATGATCTCGCGGTTCATGGGTTTGAGTCCCACTTCAGGCTCTGTGCTGACAGCTCAGAGCCTGAAGCCTGCTTCGGATACTGTGTCTCTCTCTCTCTGCCCCTCTTCTGCTCATGCTCTCTCTCTGCCTCAAAAATAAACAGTAATAAATAAAAAAATAAAAATAAAATGGGAAAAAATACAACCCAAATTTTGTCTTTATACCAATGCAGTTACAAAATATAACTTTTTTTTAACGAAGGGCCCACAAATGTCCTAATAAGGCCCAGTGTAAAACAGTATAGGGGTTAAGATAAACTGGGAGGACTCACACTGATTTCCTGATTTCAAAATATAC